GCAGGCAATGTAGGAGAAGCTTGTATGTGTATATAACATATAAATATTAGTTTGATTCCCCTTGTCTTTTGTGTTCTATATCTATATGCGTGCTCATATATATGTATATATCTATATATATGCATTATCTATCTTTTTTTCCCAGACAAACAACAACGCGCAGAGCTTACGGATTTCAGTTTTTTGAGAAAACGCAAGGAACAACGATGGCTTGCGCATTTCAGTCTCGGAAAAAGCGCAAGGCTTACGCATTTTTGCCTGGTCGTGATTTTGAAAGATTTGGAAAAAAAACGCAGATTTCAAAGGCGCAGTCGCGGTCGGCATGCGCATTTTTGCCGCTCGATTTGAGAAAACGCGCAGATGGAACAACAGCAAAAAAAATGCGCATTTTTATGTGTAAAAGCGCAGATCCACCCTCTGGGTAGCACTATAGATCAATAGCCCCATGACCGTATAGCCCTATAAGCCTACAGCCCTATAGCCCCAAATCCCTATAGCCTTGAAAATAGCATGCTTGGGGCTTTTCTCCGGTATCATTGTGTTTTGATTGCGATAAACGTGGGAACCATTTGCAACGCGTTGCAATCATCGCACACAATGCGAGAACAATCAAAACAAATCCACAGCGGCACTCCTTCGACAGCCGAGCAAAATCTTGAAGGAACGCGACGGCCAGACGCAACATTTCACCAGCTACTCTTGGCAGTGCCTCCTCCGGCGCGCAGCTCGGGCCCAAGTGGGCCCCGCCGCTGCGGCCCCCGCTGGATGGGGTGGCGCGGCCACGGGGGGCGCGCGCGCGGCCTGGGCGGGCGGGGGGGCGCGCGGGAAGGGGGGGGGTACTTGGCGCCCACGGCCAAGATGGGTAGCGGTGGGCGGGGGGTACTTAGCGCGCGCGGCCAGAAAAATTGGAGGCGGCGCTAAACGCGAGGAGGGGGAGAGGGCCTATTGCGGGGGGGCTCCTCGGGACAAGGCCACGGGGGCCCGCGGGTTGCTGGGGCCAGGAGCTCCAGGGAAGCCAAGGAAAGAGGTCGGGGGCACAGAAAGACGGGCGAGATAAAACAATCTCCCAAACGATCGTCCGGGCGACTTTCCGGGCGCAGCAAAAAAAGCATAATGTTGTAACGAATGCAAACATAATGCGCGGTCGATGTCAACCGTGCGAAAGAATGCCAAAATCATGCGAAGAGAATGCGCGGCCGAATTGTATTTCACAAAGAATGCACACAGAATGCGCGGTCGAAATCGGCCGCCTGAAAGACTGCAGAAAGGTTGCGAACATAATGCTGGAAATAATGCAAAAAGAATGCGCGGCCGATGTCGGCCGCGCGAAAGAATGCACAGGGCAATGCAACAATAATATTACCTTCTGGGCATTTGCTGGGTCCGCGCGCGAAAGAATGCAAGCAAAAATCGCGGCCGAAGTCGGCCGCCCCAAAAAATGCCCCAGAGTGGGAGGATAATAAAGGCAGAAGGAGGGAAAGAAAGATGAGTGGGAGAGGGAGGGGGATGCACCAAGTACGCAGTTGCCAAGCAAACGTCAGCTAGCCAACACAACGTAGCACAGCCTCCCCGAATGCCAACCAATGTGCGTGACTGGGTCAAACAGAGCGCATAATGAGAATCACTGGGCGTGGGCCCATCACGACTTTGATCTAAAAACATGCATGGCGACGCTCAACACAACGTACTAAGTACGCGTATGAACGTAAGATCATGTGCGGTGCCCGTTATTCATAGAATCGCGGGACACAACAACATGGACACCGTCTGGCGAAATACGTCGCACCACACGGCGCGCATAACATACGCAATGGCTTGCGATCATGAAACGTGTGCACATGTGTTCGGTCGGTATATATATATATATATGTATGTATGTGTATATATATATATGCCACCGTTATCGCAAAGGTCTGCTGCAACTATCCAGGCCGGCGGAACCGGCCAATTGCCCTATCCGCGGCTTGGCGCGCGGCAAAACCAGCATCAGATAAAGTCTGAGGGGAGGGGGGGGAGGACGAGTGGCAATGGGAGACCACTCGGTGGAGATGGCATATCAGCACGACGTCGCGGGCCCTCTGCCACTCTCCCATTTTTCGGGCTCCGTGGCCCCAGTGTCTAGCGCCAGGCGCTCGTGCGCAGACGGGGCGAGCGCGTGGCCCAGCGCTCTCTCTGCGGCGCCGCGGAGGCGCGGGCGCTCGTCATAGTGCACCATGGAGTCGGCCCCCGCCGGGCAGCCGACGATGCACGGTTCGTCACGCGACTGGAGTCGCGCCGCCGTCGGCCAGGCCCCGGCCCGCGTCCGCAGTAATGCCATCCGCCACGCTTGCGGCAAGCGTCGGAGTTCGCCGGCCAGCGCCTCCCAGTCGAGCGCCTCGGGGGACTCCACCGAAGGATGCCAGCGCCTCATCCGCCTGGTCATCGTCGAGGCCAGGTCGTTGGTGAACACGCTGGTGTGGAGCGTTCGCAGGAGCGCCCCCTGCAGGCGCAGCTTGCCGCCGGGCGCCGCCAGGGAGCCGCCGTCCATGGCCGCGGAGCGGGGCTGCAGGAGCTCCCGCGCGTGGTCCAGCGCCGCCAGGCCCGCCGCGCACAGCTTTGGTGAATCGTCCAGGCCCTCCGAGGCCGCCCGCAGATGGAGGACCAAAGGCACGTCGCTGCGCCACGATACCGTGCAGTGCCCCTGCGCAGAAACGGCGGTCGGCAGGTGTGCCATCGCCGAGCGGCGCAGCAGCGTCAAGTTGGCCTCCCACCCCGCCAGCGTGGTCAAGACCGCCCGCAGGCGCACGGCAGCAACGTACACGTTGGCAGAGGTCAGGGCGGGCGCGCCAAAATCCTCCAGGACGTGCCAATCCGCTCGGGTGAGCGAGTTGGCAGGCCAATGAAAAAGGCGGCTGTGGATATGCATTTCGCCGCGCGTGAGATTCCACGGCAGCGGGAAGAGCTGGCCCTTGTAGCCCAGCACGGGGATAGCGTGCCGGTGATACAGCACCGTCGCCGTTGAGAAGCAGGAGCCCGTATTCGAGATTGCCCCGGCGCGCTCGCGCCACGCCGCCAGGTGCGGCGCCCATTGCGTCTCCAGGCTCACGTTGACACCGAGAATGACGCCGAGGTACGGCAACTGCTCCGCGATGTCGAACGCTGCCCAGGCCGCGTCGGCCGCGGCAAGGCATGCCAACGCGGCAGCGCGCCTGCCGTCATCCAGCGGCCCTCCCAACGGCACGCACTTGCACTTCGAGATCTTCAGCGTCAGGCCGGCCAGGCGGCGGCAGAGGCCCAGCACCCTCGCTAGCACCCGGCAGCCGTGCGGGCCATACGCAATGGCGCCAAGGTCGTCAGCGCACGCCCTGGCGATGCCCAGACGGCGTTCCTCGAGGGACGCGGCGAGGTCGATCAGGAAGACATTGGTCCCGATCGCGTAGAGGTCGCCGCTGAGAGGGCAGCCCTGCAGCACGCCCGAGTTTACGATGAACTGGAAGGTGAGCCCCGCGTGCGACTCCTCGAACATCTGGATATCGAAGTAGAACATCGCGAGGACATTCAGGATGCCGATCGGGAGCCCAAGGGCCTGGGGCGACAGAAAGAGCCATCTTTGGGAGAGGGCCGCAAACGCCTGAGCAAAGTCGAAACTCAAAAGCAACGGCTGGACCATCAGCCTTGATGGTCCAGCCTTTGCTTTTGATATATATATATATATATATATATGTATATATATATATACATACATACATATTGCACAAACAATACAATGTCTGCTAAGCGCATCTCGGACGACAACCTCACTTGCGCAAAAAAAAAGGCAACGTCTTCCGGGCGCATGTTGGCTGATACTCTGTACGCAAGAAATATGTAACGTCTTCCGGGCGCAGTTTGGTTTTACATTCTATGTGCGCAAGAAGTGTGCCACAGATTCTGGGCGTAACTTCGCGACATCATTCCTGTATCCACTATGTGCTGGAAGTGTTTCTCAAACATATAACTGTGCTTTCTCTGCGCGTCTGAATTTCGCACCTTCACTTCGTCTTCTGGAAGGCCTAGTGTACTTGAAATGTGAAATGGAGCCGAAACGTGTGTGCCACGTGTTTGGCCTGGCGCGCCAGGCTGCTGCCGCCCGCCGGCTGCTCGTCGTCGAATTCTTCGGCGTCTGAGCGTCCCTCCTTCCTCTCGTCGGCTCCCCCCTCCCTCCTTGCACGCCAGCCAATTCGCAAGTTAGTGCCCCTACCTAGCTGGTACGCTGGTGCGGATTTCGCCGCCTCGCCGCTTACGAAAAAAATGTGCCACGTGTTATTCGCGACGACGCCCATCACTGGCCCCGCTCCTCCCTCCTCCCCAACCCCTGGAAACGTCACGCTTCGCGCTGGCGCGAATCGTGACATTACTGGCCCCCTCCGCCCCCTACCTACTCTCCCCCGGTCACGCCACTTGTCATCAGGGGGCAAAAAACATTGTCTCAAGAAGGGTGAAGGATGTCAGGAGACATCTCCTGGGAGGTCTTCGTAAGAACGACAAAGAATTCCCAGGTCCGAGTAAGCTCCCACAAAGACATATTAAACCAGACAGGAACCATGATCAAACCGGATTACGCCCGATTGAGCGGGGGCTATGCCAGATTCGGCCGGTTTTCAACCACCGATGTAGCAGAGTCGATGCTCAAATTAACCTCCCAAGAGCTGCATCCTTCCTGAACCGCCCGTGCGGAGGGGGGGGAAACAACATGGGCCAAGCACGAAGGAGAAGGGACACGGGAAGGGCGGCCCGGGGGGGAGAGGATACAGTCATCGTGCTGCCACGAGGAGCGCCAGACAAAGAACGAAGGAGGTTCTCTGGCCGCGGCGAGTCGGCCACGAATGCGACCTGAATCTAAGGCGCGACCAGGAAACCAGAGCCCCTCCTTAGCCCAAACTGGTCCTTTTCTCCGCGTCATGGCCCTGTCGCGACAAGGTCAAAGCAGAGAAGACAGAACGATCGGATGATGAATCCGATGCGGGCTGCGGCGGGCGGGCCTTCTTGGACGTGGCGGTCTTGATCTCGAAACCAGTGTTCGTTGCGGCATCCTGCGCGCTGGCGTCGCGGGCCCGAGAAGCGCGAGGGCAAGACACGCAGCTGTCTCCCAGGCGGTCTGGCTCGGCAGCAGAAGACGAGCATGAGGATGCTAGACCCTTGGGCGGCGCGCTCCCCGCCACAGGAAGGCGGAAAAGGAGGAAGGGGGAGAATTCGTCATTATGGTTTGTGTATGATGCTGGTCGCTGGCACCGAATGATCGTTCGACCCTGAACGATCGGGGGCTTTTTGATCGCGAGATCGCTCCATATTGGCCAATTCAGGGCCTCTGGCGGTGGGGTCGTCGCCGCTTCGACACGACGCGAACCAGGCGTTGCCCAAGCGCGCAGCGCAGCAAACTTTGGGGAGGGGCGAAGAAACGTGTACCGTTCGTCCACCTTCGGGGCTCAAGGGCCTCTGATGGGCCCCTTGTCGAGCGAGACTCTGGAGGGCATCATCTGGAGCGAGACTCTGCCTTCCGGAGCCGGAGAGGAGAGGAGGGCGGAGGAGAAGAGAAGAGTGCAGAGGGCAGGAGGAGAAGAGGGCGGAGGGCGGCAGGAGGAGAAGAGGGCGGAGGGCCGGCAGGAGGAGAAGAGAGCGGAGGGCCGGCAGGAAGGACGCCCACCTCCCCTCGTCGCACAAGAGTCACGACGGGAGGTTGTTGGTCGTTTTCCATTTCCCGGGTCCCTCACAGGGCCACAAGACCGTCAACAAAAGCTACCCAGGATGAAAAACTGGCCCCAGGCAAGGGTCCAGACCTCTCGGGGTCGACGCTGTGAACAATCTCGGACGGCGGAACTCTTATAGAGAACGATGACAGAAGGAGCGAAGGGGCCTCTGGACCTGGCGAGCCTCGGCCACGAATAGGCTTCGCGACCTGAACCTGAGGAACGGCCCGAAAACCAGGGCCCCTCCTATGCCCAAAATGGTCCTCATTTCAACTTTTGACCTGTACGCAACCTGTCTCTGGAGGTCCCCGGCTGAACGAGACTCCGCGTGGCCTCACAGTTCATGGCATGTGAGGTGGCACGTGTTTCAGGGTGGTTCCGGAACCGAACCGAACTGGCCGAACCGAACCGGGCCGAACCGAACCGGCGCGAACCGGTCAATGAGAACCGAACCGAACCGAACCGGAAAATTACGACACCGAACCGAACCGAACCGAACCGGGACTCTGAACCGGGCCGAACCTCCCCCCGCCGAACCGGCCCGAACCGGACCGAACCAGAGCGAACCGGAAAACTGGCCACGGAGGGAGGAGGAGGGAGGATGACCGGCGGCGACGACGACGATGACGACAACATCCCCTCGTCCCTCGTCGGCGACGTCGACGTCGAGGGCGCGGAGCGGACCGCGGGAGGGCGGGCCCCTTTGGCGCCCCTCCCGCGCGAGGGCAGGGGGCCGTCGCCGGGGCACCCGGGTTCCCGCAGGAACCGACCCACCAGCAGTCTGCTTCAACCACCCCGACAAACCCCCCTTTCCGTTGGGGTTTGGGGCCCCTTTGGGGCCCCTATGCGGGTTTGGGGCTCCTTTGGGGCCCCTTTGGGGATTTGGGGCCCCTTTAGGGCCCCTTTTGGAGGTTTGGGGCCCCTTTGGGGCCCCTTTGGAAGCTCTTTGGGGCCCCTATGCGGGTTTGGAACCCCTTTGGGGCCCCTCTGGGGCTCCTCTGAAGGGGCCCCTATGCGGGTTTGGGGACCCTTTCGGGCCCCTTTGGGGGAAGATCAGCGGCAACCAGCGGCAGCCAACACGCTGCGTCGCCCCGGCTCCTCCTCCTCCTCCTCCTGCTCCTCTTCCTCCTCCTCCCCCTTCCGAACCATCGGCATCAAAAAGAGCGCAACGAAATCGGATCGCATGGGGTCGGAACCGCTCCTCGACGGCGATCTGGCCGGAACCGGACCGAACCGGAACAAGAACCGGTCCGAACCGGAAACAAACAAAAAAAAGGTACCGAACCTAACCGAACCGAACCGGAAGATTACGACACCGAACCGAACCGAACCGAACCGGAGGCGCTTCGGAACCTAACCGAACCGAACCGAACCGGAACTTTCCTGGATTCAGGTCGTCGTGAACTCACACGTCTGAGACTGAGACCCAACAAACAGCAGGTTCTCAGAAATAATGTCGCGCTGGACAACATTCCTCTCAGAGCTCGCCACTAGTCGAAACAATATGGTGGCACGATCGCTCTGACAGGGCCAGGGCTGGCATTCGACACTGTAATGCGTACCTGTTTGCACTCATCACTGGAATGCTAGATAGTTGATCTCACGTTAGATTATTGGATAGCCAGGTCGTGCCAGCACGGCTCCAGCTGAACAGTCTGGCTCAGAACTCGTCGCCATAGCCCTCCTCCTCGCCCTCCCCCTCGGCGGTTTCGATGCCGACCTCCTCGTAGTCTTTCTCCAGCGCAGCCAAATCCTCGCGGGCCTCTGAAAACTCTCCTTCCTCCATGCCCTCGCCGACATACCAATGCACGAACGCACGCTTGGAATACATGAGGTCGAACTTGTGGTCGATGCGGGAAAACACCTCCGCGATGGCTGTGGAATTGCTGATCATGCAGCACGCGCGCATTACCTTAGCCAAATCACCGCCAGGTACCACAGTGGGCGGCTGGTAGTTGATGCCGACCTTGAACCCGGTAGGACACCAATCCACAAACTGAATTGTGCGCTTTGTCTTGATAGTCGCTACCGATGCATTCACGTCCTTGGGCACCACGTCGCCTCGGTACATCCGCCCCCCGCGCTTGCAACGGTTGGTGTCCTTGCTTTGTTTCGTTGGTGTCGCTTCTTGCGGACCAATACGTCGGTCCTCGACGCATCGAGCCCAACACCTCATTTTTTTGACCAAGGCCCAGCATGTTTCGAGGAGGGAGGAGGGAGGAGGGAAGAGACGACGACGACGCAAACGACGACGACGACGCAAACGACGACGACGAAAACAACGACGACGACGACGACGATCCTTCATCGTGACATGTAATCCCTGCTAGTCAGAACACGGTAACGGATACGGCAGATCCTCCCGTCCACCCAACACTAGGCCACCCACGAAGACGCAACACAGAGCGCCGTGGCGGATTCGCGCGGCAGCGCAATTGTATCATGCAGCACGCCATGTACTTGCCGTGGCGGGGGTCACACTTGACAAACATGGCCGAAGGTTCAAACACGGACATGGTGATCTCCGCCACAGAAAGCTGCTCGTGGTAGGCTTTCTCTGCAGAGATCACTGGAGCGTAGCTCGAGAGCATGAAATGGATGCGTGGGTATGGCACCAAATTCGTCTGGAACTCCGTGATGTCCACGTTGAGCGCGCCGTCGAAGCGCAGCGACGCCGTCAGCGAAGATATGATCTGAGCCAGAAGCCTGTTCAAGTTCGTGTATGTGGGGCGCTCGATGTCGAGGTTCCGTCTGCAAATATCGTATAACCGTATAATGCTTCGTTGTCGTACATGATGGTGACGTCCGTGTGCTCCAGCAACGAATGCACGCACAACACAGTGTTGTAAGGCTCAACCACGGCCGTGGCGATCTGCGGGCACGCCCACACTGTGTACGAGACCTTGGTCTTCTTGCCGTAGTCCACCGACAAGCGCTCCAGCATCAAGCAGCCCAGCCCGGACCCGGTGCCTCCGCCAACGGCGTTGTAGATCATGAATCCCTGGAGCCCGGTGCAGTTGTCGGCGAGCTTGCGAATGCGGTCCAAGACCAGGTCGACGATCTCCTTGCCGATCGTGTAGTGGCCGCGCGCAAAATTATTGGCCGCGTCCTCCTTCCCGGAGATCAGCTGCTCGGGGTGGAAGAGCTGGCGGTACGTGCCGGTGCGGACCTCGTCGACAACAGTGGGCTCAAGATCCACCATCACACAACGCGGAACGTGCTTGCCTGCACCCGTCTCTGAGAAGAATGTGTTGAAGGCATCGTCGCCACCCCCGATCGTCTTGTCGGAGGGCATCTGCCCGTCAGGCTGGATGCCATGCTCGAGGCAGAAAAGTTCCCAGCAGGCGTTCCCGATCTGAACACCTGCCTGCCCGATGTGGATGCAGATCGCCTCACGCATAGTGTTGAGATAATTGCCTGGGGAGACGGATGTCTCGCGGGATGGGCAGCAGAAAGAGACTGCCGCGCAATGTGGCGGTCTCCCGTGCAGCTTCCTGATCCACAGTTGCTACATAAAACGCGTTGCAAATTTCTGGAGCTTGGGGGGGGACCGAAGTGAAGCGGAGTACGCCCCCTCCGGAGCTCGATTTCGATTTCGCTTCGTGTTTGCGGGTGCCGTGACCGTCGTGATCTTAAGCAGGATGACCCCCCCGAGGAGCGTGTCGCGGCGTTCAGGGACCCTCGCATGAACAAAAACACGACGCTGGAGGTCTGCGACTACACTACCTGCAGCCGACGCCTCGACATGCCGCACACCGTTTCCAACCAACACATACCGAATGCCCGCTTGACATCACCACCCGCTCAACCCGGGGCGAACCAAGACAGCCTGGAACTAGCTTGGAACACCCGCCCGGTCCCCAAGGTCAAGTCGGGGGCCGTTGGCTTCCCAGAGCGGTTCTGAGCGGCGGTGGCGGCGGCGGTAGTGTCTCGATCGGTGTACGGCAGGTTTACGTCGTAACGACCTGGGCGCTGGTTGCTAATGAACGCCGGATGATCGTTCAACCCTGAACGATCGGGACCTTTTTGATCGCCAGATCGCTCCGTATTGGCCGACTCAGGGCCTCTGGCGGCGTTCAAAGCTGAACGCCCACGGTGGGGTCGCCGCCTTGTCGACGCGACACGAACCAGGCGTTATCTAAGCGCGCGGGGAATGCTTCTTAGAATGAGGCTGCTTCTTAGAAGCAACCTCTTTCGAAGAAGTTCCCCCCCCCCCCTCCCCCACTCCCTTGTGCGCGCCGCCCAAAGGATGAGGGGGCGAAGAGAGTTGTACACGCCGGTCGGAAGAAGTGGGTAGAAACATGCAGCAGGAAGGCTCTGAAGCAAATTGGCCTTTTCGCCGGCCCCCTGAAGAGGAAAGAAACGACAAAACCACTCGAGCCTTGAAACGGCTAGAAAAGAGAGTGGGGTCTGCGAATCCAGAAACTTGCCGACTCTCGGACTTCCATTCCCCGTGCAATTTTCGGTTCCGTGCGTGCTATTTTTGCTGGATGGTCGAAGATGCTCCTCGCTGGGGGAACATGCACACATCCGGACGATGCCAAGGGAACGCGTCCTTTGAAACGACCGGCGTGTACCGTTCGTTTACCTCTGGGGCTTAGTGGCCAATCTGGGGCCCCTCCGCCTGCAACCGTCGACCCCCCCTCCCCAGCTACAGCCGCCCGCCCGGTACTGGCCCAGAGAACGGCCTTTTTATTGACTTTGAGACACACAAGCGATGGCCGACTCAGGGCTCGAGCTAAACGGTGTGTTTCGTGTCCGTTATGCTCTCGTGTTCCTTCGTTCTGTCTTCATTCGGCCTTTGCTGCGAAACGAGATCAAAACAAAAACGGTCCACGAAATCGCCCACACACAGTTTAGCTCGAGCACTAGGCACACTATTGATCTTCGAATGGCTCACTTCTCATCTTTCCCTCGCCCTGCCGCGGTTGCAGAGACCATGAATGCGCAACCCGGTGATCGCAAGCGTGCCCGTAGCCCCACGTCCAAGGGTTCTTCGAGGCAGGGTCCTTCATCAAAACGCCCGAGCGAAGCAGCTTGGAGGCGGCCAAGAGGTCCGAACTGGATGGACCTCGCGAAATCCAGCCCAGGAAGGGGGATAAACGCAACTCTGCTCAAAATCGGCCCGCGGACACCATCCAGGGGTACATCTGCAGTGCCTTTTTGCTACGACGACACAGGAGCGATGACAATGCATGGGAGTTCCCACGACTGGAGCAAAGGATGCCATTCCTGACGACACCGCGGCATAGCTGTTTTCACCCCGGATCCGCTGCTGACGGTCGTGAGGAACCCAAAACATGTCCGAACCCAAAACGTCTAACCTCGTCCGTCTTCCTGCTCGCCAGAACCAATGCTGTGCCAGACCCCCAGCCAGCTCCAAGAACCAGCTGTATCCTGAGCAAGGCCCGACTGTCCTGAGATTCCTCTAGGCCTACAACGAAACCCTCTCATAACCATAGAACCTTCTAATAACGAAACCAATATTATCGAAACTCCCAAGCGATTGACTAGAGCAAGGCTGTCTCAGCCAGAAGTGCTCCAGGACCATTTCGTGCGGGCGTTCAAACAAATCAGGACGCTTCGACACTGCTTGAATATCAGCTTCGGATGCGAAGGTCATCCAACAACAGGCTGGCGGCTCTGGCTGGCGGCACGGGCCCGGGCACGCGCCGCCGATCCTTGCACCAGTCCGTGAACTCCCTGAAGGCCTTCTCCTCGGCCTCGCCTTCCTGAGCAGCACAAACGACACACCACACTTCATGACCAGGACAATGTTGATATTGTTCCTAATAACGCCAGTGACGGGCCCCGCCCCCCTCCTAAACCTATCGGGCGGGTGGCAATGGGGGGTGGTCATTTGAGGGGTGAAGAAAAGGGCAGCCTTTAGGGCCCTTGTCTTCACATTTGGGTCACGTCCGCCCGACCCTACCTGGTTACGTCACGATTCGCGCCGGCGCCGTCTTGGAATTAGCGCCTCCTAGGCATTCCCGGACGGCGCCGGCGCGACTCGCGGCGTGACCGCCCCCCTCTCCCCCTCCCCCCCTCCCCCCCGGTTACGCCCGTGATCTCGAGGGGATAAGAGAACCGTCTCCAAAGGCAGGGGGCCACAACCCTCCCAGACGGGCAGTTCTAGACACCCCCAAAACGGCAAAGAAAGGTGTCCGTTTGCCCAGGCCCCATGGTAACCATCCGAGACAACTCAAACCAGACCCCACCCCCAAATCAGACCCCTCATCTCTAAAATGAAATCCAGAAAAGGTTTCGCCGACCACGCGAGGCACATGCAGCCATCGTTTTTTTTGTTTTTTTGGGGGGGGGGGGCCACGGCGGCCTGACCTGTTTGAAAGCGGCTGCCTGGGCAGCCCTTCTGAACCTAACGCCAGAAGAGGGACCAGCAAGCGACCACGGACCCATTTCCCAAGGAGGGAGGATGTCCCTTGGCCACTCGCCAGTCCCCCAGGCATTAGTCTGACCCCGACTCCGAGCCCTCAGGGCGGTTCGGAATCAGAGGAGCCTCATCCTCCTCGCACCGCGGCAAGTCGGACAAACCCCTCATCCCCGCACGGGGGTCAGACACAGCGGAGGTGTCACGCACGGGAGCCTCTGTCATTGCACCAGGCTCCCCGTCCACCAACAAAACACGGGCTTCGGCTTCCTCAGCCTCGAACAAAACATCAAAAACTTCATCTCCTGGTGCAGGTCCCTGCACTCTCGGAGCTTCTTGCTGCCCTCCCCGCCCACCGCTCCCGAAGTCCACCCGCACCCCCGCTTCTCTCTCAGCAATCCTAGCCCTCAGAGGGGCCAGACAAGCCAGATGAGACGAGCACGGAGGGATGAGATGAACCCGCGAAGCGGTGGCAAAGGCTCGCACAGCCGCTCCTGGCGCTGGCCGTTCAGGAGCCGCACATGAAACTGCAACATTACGCTGAGGGTGAAGGCCTCTCTTGAGCCTACTCAGCACACTGGCACCTGCACTGTGTTCCCTCGGATCACACTTCCCTGCCAGATTACGCACTTTTTCTTGCGAATAGCTACCACAAAGCATACAAAACACTAGGGGCAGCTTCTCGTCGCCTACTTGCGTACTAGCTAACTTGTGGCCGTGGGCGGGGGCCTCAGAGAGCAACTTGGTGAGGCTCCTCGAGAGACCCTTACACCCCACCTCTGGCCTATCTTGGAGGTGTCCCCCATAAAAACTTAAACACTTGGCACACCTGTGGCCCCGCAGCCAGGGCTCCCAGTCGTGCCAGCTCGTGGCGCACTCAATGACCTTGCGCTGGCGCTCACGTCGGGGCGGGCGTTGGTGGTGCACCCTAGGAAAACACGGCCACACATTCGCCACAAGGCGGGCAACCGTCTCAAGACTCTCGATCGAACTATCTAACTGCTGCCAGTCGGCGGGCGCGGGTCTGGGATGGAGGTCAAGGGCTCCTTTAGCTTCCCGATCCGCTCGCCAGTTGGCCTGGCCTATCCACCGCTCAGGTGGGGGCAGTTGCTCGATGTCTTCTAACTTTCTATGGGCTGGGGTGTGAACAGCTGGGGCATACTCTTGATTCCTCATGTGGAGCAAAGCCCCCCTTCTCAACCCTCCATAACGTTGCTTGGCCGACACTTGACATGACGGTTCCATGTTATGCAGGTTGACGGCATTCATACAGTCGCTGTATAACGTCGGCCCATGATTTGGTACATATATTGGTAGCAAAGCGAGCTGGAGTTGTTCTGCCGCTTGACTGGTTTGGGGTAGGCTCGGCCAAACAACTCCTTTTGCAACATATCGCTGCACACCCTCCGCATCAAAGAAAACCCACGAGTAAGCCGCCCTCGAGAGCTCTCTGATGGTGTGCCGAGCGCAAGACCCATCTCCTGCTTGGAAAAAGGCGGAACCATCAAACTGATCCCACTCCACTTTTTGCCCATTCACGTCGAAAAGCTCTGGCTCGTGCACATCCGAGAGTTCGGCCACTCGGCCGCTGGGTGCTGAAACTTGAGGGCCTCGAAAAACTGCGCGTCCCCGCTCTGAGCGCGCTCGAGAAAGGCCATGGAGACGTCGGCGGCCTGCCTTGCCGCGACGACCTCCGCGTGCTGGCATCTGAAGATCCTGTGGCCTACTGAATCGGGTTCTTGACACAGGGGGCAGAGGCCTGGTGTGATGTACCCTGCCCGTAAAGCCCTGTCCTCGGTCCAGAGCCCTTCACAAAAACACGCCATCACTAAGTATTTACCCTGGGCATTGAGCCCAATACCTTTTATCCCAGACTTAGTAACGCGTCGGATCGGTTCAACACACACCCTGGTCCCAGGGGTCCACCCAAGCTTTTCCCCCAGGACGCGTTCGTGGCGCCTCTGAACCCCCAAACAAAGCCAGTGCCCGATCATGGACGGGGTGGAGTACAGCAGGGATATCTCCACGCCATTATCATCGCGCCAGTCGAGGGGGGCGTAGGCTTCCCACCCGATACGCTGCAGGGAGAGATGCATTCTACTAATCGGGCCTTTGCTTTTAGCCCAGTTGTAGCCTGTGGGCGGGACGGTCCGCCACATACTGCACAGCTCCTGAATCGAGAAGAAGGCGTGCTCGGGGCGCGTGGTAGCCATCCAGACCGCATGTGACCACGCCAAAGCAGGGGCGATCATGCTCCTCCACATGGGGTCACCTAGGAGTGCCGTCTTGGCTCTCAAAAGAAACCCCAGCATGCCTGGGCGCTTGGAACGAGAACATCACGCTACGCGCTCGCTTAAGTTCAGCGTCGCTCATACCCACCACAGTGTCCCCGAAGCTTAAACCAGGTTTGACCCCCGCCGCGTAGATCTTGCCAATCCTGAAACGCTCCCTGGGAGGGCCTTCCTATACCTACACAAGATCCTGTGTCTCTTGATCATGTCTTTATCCTGCATCGTCTTTTGCTCAGGTGGCCTGTCTTACTCCGTTCGCCCCCTGGGGCGAGATCAAAACCTAAGGTCACCATGTGGGTCCCGACTTGACCCGCCAATTTGTCGAGCTGCTCCCCGTGGCGACAAGCAACCCTGGGGGACGATCCAAAGGTCATCAACTTATCTTGGGCTAAATTGACTCCGAGCTCCTGCTTGAAAACGCGGTGCAAGTCCTGCGCCGCAGCCGCAAGTGCGTGGATGACCTCGGTCTCGAAACCATACGCTGAGACCGTGTCGTCGTCCACATACGACGCCAGATCAATGCTGGGGTTCCGCTCCACGAAACCGTCGAAAGGCTCGAGCGCGTACACTCGCACGAAGATATCGTTAAAAATCGACCCTGCTGGCAGCCCGCTTTTAGCGTGCAACACCGCCAGCGCATGATCCGTGCCTAAACGCAGGATCCGAGGGCCCCTCCAGAAATTGTACGTGACTTTAAGCACCACGGGATCGAGGCCCGCTCTCTGGCCCCTGTCACGGAGAAGTCTCAGGTCGAAGCTCTCATAGTACTTCGAACCATCCCAAGAGAAACCCGCAGTGACCCCGCCTTCGGCCACTCGGGCCTCCGCTTTGACCGCCCGGTTCCACGCACTACCTTCCGCCGACTTCCCAGCTCCAAAGGCCCAGTACCTACGCGGGTGGCGGTCGTTGAAGGACGTCAGCTTCGGTCTACGGAGCCGCTCCCAAAGCCTAACTGGGGAGGAACACAACAGAATCGGGCGCAACCCTCCTTTCGGCTTTTCCAGGAGAGGGAAGAGCATCCAGTACAACGCCCGAGGAAAGAGACCTATCTTTTCAACACACTGAAAAATGCACGCCAGGGTGTCGAGGCCAGTGTCCGACATACAAGCGAACTGTCGCACGTGCACTCCATCCAGTGACTGAGCCGTGTGCGGCGAGAACAGCTTGGCTGCAGCCCGCAGCTCCGCCGCGGTGGCTCGCTCAAAACAGTGCCTATCTGGGACATCAACTGGGGGTGGGGTGGTGGTGGCATTCCAATACCCTCCTAAAACATTGGCTTCATGGGCCAATAACTCCCGCGGGTCCGACGTGAAGGTCCCAGGACTGGTTTCTATCACCGTCGGTTGCCACTTGGCCTTCAACCTCGTAAGCCTATGCATCTTTCGGGCCGACCCCGCCAGGGCCTCGGTCTGCCACTGGTCCCAACTCTGCTTCGCTGTTTGATCCAGCCCGTCACGGGCCGCTTGAAAATCTTCAGCCCAGTCCTCTAAGGTCTCCGAGCAGCGATCAATCCACCCAGCGAGGGCCACCAAGTCTTGCGGCCATGCCGCCGCCAGCTCACGCGCCTTGCGGACAGTGAGATCCAATCTCCGAGACAAGCCCTCAGCTTCAAATGGCTGAGAGACAATCTGCACAAGGTTAAGGGCAGCCTGCACTTCACTGTGATCCATAAACTTGACAGCTTGCACGAGAATGCGCTGACTAGTGTTCCTAAGGTCGTTCATCCCCTGTTGCAGCCACACCCATCCCTCCCCAATGCGCACATCATCATCATCTTTGCACTTCGGGGGGGTCATAACAGGCGCCCACTTAGCCTGAAGCTGCTTACCTTTGAGCCCTTTACTTTTGATGGGGGTGCCCGTTCTACTGTCTAACTCTAACTCCATCGCATCCGAGAAAGCTTTCCACGCACGGTCCAGGACCCCCCAAACAAGCCCAACCTCGTCATGGTCGGCCCTACGGTTCGCCTCCTCGGCCACAGCTCGGGCCACGGACCAGTCGATCGGGGGAGGGGTGGGGGCCGACGGGCAGGTCCACTGGGAGTTTCTGGTGA